CCCGAGATCTTTCATCCTTTATGTTCTGCAGGCCCGTGTCATCGATGTCCCGCTCGTGCATGGGCAGGCGTGCCAGGGCAGCATCCCTGGCATCCAGCGGCGGCAGCAACAGTAATCCTGGCGCGGGCGGCGGTGCAGATGGCTCGCGCCAGCTAGCGAGCTCTTGCTGCTGCGCTGCGCCAGCGGCAGGTCAGCCCACCCCTCCGCCTCCGCACACAGGCCGAAACGCTGTCCGTGACAACTGGGGTGGGCGAGTTTGGGGCGCCTGGGATTGTTGGAGCGGGAACGCCGCAGCTCGTCAGTCTCAAACGTCTCATGACAGATGTGGCCCTTCCTGTGAGAGGGATGAGCGAGCAAGACAGCCAGTCAGCATATACCCACCCCCTGTGGAATGGCGCCTGCACAGGGCACTTGGCCGCAGGACGCTCCACAGAGACGCGTGCGCCTTGAGGGTCACGCACAGAGAGGTGAAAAAAGAGGACAACTGCAGGTGTCCCCACCGGCCTGGCCTGAGACATCATCCACACTTCCCTCGGTGTCCCCGGGCGCCCTGCAGACTCGCCCGCCAGGCAGCCATCGGCGGCGCGGGCCGCCGCGACGCGAGCTCACCGCAGCGGCAGCGGCGGTGGCGCCGTGGCCGGCCCGCCTCGTCCCGACCCGACCCGGCCCGCCCCAGCCCTTCGAATCCTCCTCATCCTCCTCCTCCTCTCCCCCTGTCCCCCTCCTCCTCTTCCTCTGGGGCCCTCCTCCTCCTCGCCTTCCTCGTCCTCCTCGTCGTCCTCCTCATCCTCTTCCTCCATCTTCTTCCTCCTCCTCCTCTTCTTCCTCCTCCTCCTCCTGTTCCTCCTCCTCCTCCTCCGCCTCCCTAGTGCGCTAACGAAGACGAAATCGGAATCGCGATCCGCCCCAATGCAGACTACTCGTCAGAATTGAAATGATCCTACACTCAGCCTCCTTCCTGGTGCGCTGTTGCACAGGCACGGTGGCGGGGTTTGCCGCAGGCAGCTGGATACACTTCAACGTTTAGTTGTGTTTGTCACGGTTATTTTCCCTCCTCAGATCCACTGAGTCCACCAGTGCGCTCCTGTTGGGGAATAAACAAAAGCATAAGCATAAACTTTCGGAAGTCCGCGCGGGTTTCGCGGATCGGGGCTGAAGCCCCCTGCGCGGATTTCTGGAATCGGCGCTGGAGCCCCCTGGCGGCGTCTCTGGCGTCGCCCCATGGCGCGCTCCGTGCACAAGAGAGCGGGGTCCAGCGCCGATCCAATAAACCAACGCGGACCTGCGAAAAGTCATGTCCATGGCATGATCTGTTCCGCGATGCGGGCGATGGACCGCGGCATCCGCACCCAATGCAGAACGCGACGTGCCAAAAACATCGGCAAATTCTTCTGCTATCAAGGCCGTGCCCTTTTACTGGAGCAGCTCTCGTATTGCTCTTGCGACCGTGTCGTCACGCAGCTTTCGGCGACGACGACTGGGACGGTCTCGAAGTATACACTCTATGTCGTCTGGACGGCCAACGAGGTCGGTGTATAGACGCCCCAGCATCCCAACCTGTGGGATGCTGGATCGTCTATGCACCGAATGCCTTCGCTGAGCTTCTTAGCTCCCTGGACGACCAAACGATGTAGTGTATACGTCGAGCCCCTCCGAAGGACGACGAGTGCTGGTGCCTCTTTTGTCGCCTTCCTTTCCATCGTGCCCGCCGCCGCCAGGCGGCTGGCGGGCGGCGCGCTCTCCGAGGCCGCCCGAATCAAGCTCTAGCAGGCTGGGGCGGAGGATCGCAATGTCCGGGGGTCGTAAGGGCAGGACCAATCAGTCAACATCGAATCGGATCAGATGGGGACGCGCGTCGGATCGGACCGCATCGGCACGGAGTGGACATCGGATCGGACCGGCAAAGCCCTGCGCAGACATCGGGCCGCATCGGGCCGCCAAGAAATCGGAATCGACTCGGATCGAGCCGGATGATCTCGGCGTCGAACCGGATCGGTCGAATCGAACTGGGCCCTGGAAGGTGGGGTCGGCCAGAAGGCGGGTGAGAATAACATCTCCCAAAACGGCCCATGGAATGTGGAAGGTCAGCCTCCAGCCGGGCTCGTTCCCTGACGTCGCCTTGGCTAACCCCGCCCTCTATGATCCTCTACGGACAGCCATGCATTGCCAGTGCACTGGCGATGCTAGGATGGAGACAACCGCGCCCTGGATCGCGCCACATCTTCGATGCACCAGCGATGCAGCGCGATGCTCCGACCCCGTCTTGGGAGAACAAACTGGTGCCGACACCGCCACTCCACGTACTTCTCCTGGCGTGCGTTCTGACCTGGATCTCGAGGCAGATCCAGCCGTGGTGACGAGGGAATAATATCGGTGCTGGTATCCCTTCCTCACCTGACCCTGCCATGGCCCCACTCGGGCGGCCCCACTCGCGCGACGCGGCCGAAAAGTGTTCGAAAATCGGCCTGCACCGGCCAGCAGCCCCTGCGCTGCAACGGGGCGCCAAGCGGCGCGAGCCTCCTGGCCCCTCAGTCTCGGCAGCCTGGCGGAGAGAACGGGAGCGGAGGGCGAGGAGAAACGGTCTTCCCTCCTGTCCCCTCTTCCCCCTCCTCCTCCTCCTCCTCCTCCTCCTCCTCCTCCCCCTCCCCCTCCTCCTCCCTCCTCCTCCTCCCTCCTCCTCCTCCTCCTCCTCCTCCTCCTCCTCCTCCTCCTCCTCCTCCTCCTCCTCCTCCTCCTCCTCCTCCTCCTCCTCCTCCTCCTCCTCCTCCTCCTCCTCCTCCTCCTCCTCCTCCTCCTCCTCCTCTCCTCTCCTCCATTTCCCCCCTCCCCCCTCCCCCTCCTCCCCTCCCCCCCTTCCTCACCCCCCCACCCCCTCCCCTCCCCTCCTCCACCCCCTCTCCCTCCTCTCCCCCCCCTTCCTCACCCCGCCACTCCTCCTCCCCTTCTTCCTCGTCCTCCTCCTCCTCCTCCTCCTTCTCCTCCTCCTCCTCCCCCTCATTCCCCCCGTCCTCCAATTCCTCCACCCTGCTGCCCCTCCGATCGATCGAGCCCCCCGATCGATCGGTCGATCGACGCGTGACCGACCACCCCCTCCGATCCATCGGCGGCGGCGGCGGCCCAGCAGGCCCTCCGCCTCACGGGCCGGGCCCCGGCACCGGCAGCGCGGCCCTGCCCTCGGCCAGCGCCCCGCTGGCGCGCGGGGCGCCCACCCACGAGCCGCCCCGGTGCCGCGAGTCCCACTGCTCCTCGAGGGGCAGAACCCGCGGAGGCGACCACCCCAGAGATCTTGCCGTCGCAATTAAATTGCAACTCTCGGAAACGCTGCAATTTATAATTGCGCCTTCCGAGAAAATTGCTACAGTTGCAGAAAAAAGGGAGTACTCCCTTTCCCAGAGATCCGACGCTCCAAACACGAATTGGAGCGGCGGGATTTTGGCAGCATTCGGCCTCTGGGGGCCCTCGCCGGGCCTCGGGAGCGTCAACAGACGATTCAGGACGAAAGACCGGTCCTGGGGAAGTGGTCCAGACCCCCGGTGCCCACGCATCCCAAAAGTTTGAGCAGCCGGATGTCTGGGTTCGCCTCGGAACCAACAACTGGCGGACGTCGTGTGTTACTAAGAGAAAGCTGCCTGCAGGGGGCCCTCGCCAGGCCCCACAGGGCCGTCAATAAAAAGCTCAGGAGGAACGGCGGGTCCCACGGAAGGGGTCCGGATCTTGCAGGGGCCCACGTTGTGAAACAACGCGGCGTCGGAACTCTGGGGACGAATGATGAAGAAGTTAGGACAAGATGGGGGGGTGACATGGGGGGCCGGCTCCGGGGGGAAGCATCGAGCTTGAATTGGCGATGCATCACCGATAGACCAGCGATAGAGCCACCGGTCGCGAAACCGCACAATCTGGCGCCTGGCGGCGATCAAGGACCGCTTCGGGGTCGATGCGTTCCCCCATGAGCCCTTCATCTTCTAACGTTGCCCGGGAAAAGGCGGGAGGAAGTTTCTCGTCAGCGGCAGCTTGAGTCCAATAATCGGAAGAGGCAGCCGAAGGATGCATCGTAGCCGAATTTGGCACAAGGGAGAAAAGAAAGGGCGCGGGGCGCTGGTGAAGGGACATACTGAGTAGAGATGAGAGCGCGTGGGAGAAGAGTGCAGTGGCGGGTGGCGCCAGCGAGGCAAGCGCGATGCAGAGGCCACCTGCGCCATCCCCGCGCGGCGTTCCTCGAACAGGTCGGCTACATGCAAGAGTGACCTTGGGCGCACCTCCTCTCTCCGATGTGGAGTGGGCCATGGTGCGCAGCTTGTGGACATGTCACGGGGCCTTTTCAGCTCTGATCAGCAGATGTCGCCGCGCCGTTTGCTCTTGACGCGCTCACGTGGACGACGCAGCAACCACGGCAAAAACCCGCGGCAAACCCTGCGCCCTGCGCCCCAGGCAGGCGAGGCAAGCCTCCCCAAGACGTGACGCAGCGCGTCGGAACAGCCGGCGCCAGGGCGAAAGGCCGCGGGCGCCCCGGCGCCTGCAACGTCAGCATCGGGGCGAGCCAGGCGCGCCGTCCATCACGCCCGCGGAGCAGGTGGGCGGATGGTGAAGAGGAGGGGGAGGAGGAGGAGGAGGAGGAGGAGGAGGCGGAGGAGGAGGAGGAGGAGGAAGAGGAGGAGGAGGAGAGGAGGAGGAGGAGGAGGAGGAGGAGGAGGGGAGGAGGAGGGGGAGCAGGAGGGGAGGAGGAGGAGGAGGAGGAGGAGGAGGAGGGAGGAGGAGGAGGAGGAGGAGGAGGAGGAGGAGGAGGGAGGAGGGAGGAGGAGGAGGAGCAGTCGGAGTCGGAGTCGGAGGCGGAGGAGGACGAGAGGCGGGTGGCGAGGGGCCGGAAGCAGGGGAGCAGCAGGAGGAGGCGCGCCAGGGGAGCGGCGGGGGCACCCGGGGGCAGACACGGTCCCGCGGCCCCGCGGCGGCGGAGTCCTCGTACACCGTCCACGAGGAGCCGTCCGTCCAGAGGGACGAGTCCTTCACGCGGGCGCCGCGCACGGCCTTCCCGTCCTGCGGGGGGGGGGGCTGCGCAGGGGCGCGCCGACGACGCCGCACTGGACGCGGGTGTGTGTTTTTGCTTCTGTGCTGCATCCTGCGTTTCCCGCGCCCCCACGCGTGCGCGCTTTCTGGCGCACCCGCACGTCCAGCGAGGGTGTGTTTCTCTGGTGCCGCAGCGAGGGGAGACGTTTAGGGGAGACTCGCTCTGGACGGCCCTAGGCCAGGCAGGAAATATACGCCTCCAGCTGGGCTCGCTCCCTCACCCCAAAGTCAAGACCAAGGTCCTGTACGAACACGAAGCCCGGTCCGATCACGGACGCGGAATGAAACGATCGACCCTGACTCGCATTCTGAAGACTGCCAGCTTCCCAACCGATGCGATGTCGAGGGCTCCGCGACGGCCAGACTGGGGAGCTGACGGCCACATTGGCCGAGCGCCGAAGGTAGAGGAGAGAGGGAGAAAGAAAGAGAAAGAAAGAGAGAGAGAGAGAGAGAGGATGCAGGAAGGGAGAGAGGGACATGCGAGGGAGAGAGAGGGACGCTCCATGGCCCCACCCTGGGGCTGCCCCACCCCCTCAAACTCCGTCGCCGTGTTTTTTTTCCACAACGTGACCCCCCTGGAGGTTTGCACTTTTTCCCTGGGACCAGCTTTTCCCGAGTAGTCGTTTCACGGTTCCGGGGGGCCCCGGCTACACGCAAGAGTGGCCCTGGGTAAGAGTGACCTTTGGTGCGCGGTTTTTGGGGCGCCGCAGGGGATCAAACCCAAGCGCGCAAGACGCTGATATCGCATCGCGTTCGGCGATCGGGGGACCCCAATGGGCCCGCAACAAAGGTCACCCCAGCGAAGGGTCACTCTTACGTCTAGTCGACGCGAGTGCCCCCAGAGGCCGAACGCTGACAAACACCGTCCGCCGTAAAACCACCCTCGTGGGAAGCACCCCGACGAGCGCAGCCTGTCAGTAAAAACGCACCTAGGGAAGGGATCGCACTGTGCAGGGCTGCTTGGTAAACGCCAACTGTGGGGGTTGAGGTGCCTCTTTCGGCTATACGCAAGAGTGACCCTGGGGAAGAGTGACCTTTGGTGCGCGACTTTTTTAGGGCCGCGGGGGTACCAAACCTGGGCGCGCAAGCAGCTGCTACTGCCTCGTTTTCAGCCGTCTGGGGACCCCTCTGGGCCCGCACCAAAAAGGTCACTGGACACTCTGGCGAAAGGTCCCTCTTACGCCCAGTCGACTCTTCCTCCCTTAAGGGTTGCCCGCGGCAAGGAGAGGTCGGGGCCTCTGCGAACCCCCGGTCCTTGATCTGCGGGGCCGCCCACCGGCCGAGCCGCCAGACCCACGCGAGGACCGGCGGCGAGCTGGCGGCATCCGGCCGGAGCTCCAGCTCGGTGGCCACCCGCCCGCGCAGGCGCATCACGCACTCGTCGATGCGCCACGCCAGGCGCTCCCGCAGTCTCAGCTGGCGCGCCGTGCGCGCTGGCAGGCCCGTCTGCCGCAGGAAGCTCTCGTCGGCGGCGCCGAGCGCGCCGAGCAGCGCGGAGCGCATCGCCTCTGCGTCGAGGGACCACTCCTCGGGGGCGGCGAGGCCTGCGCCTGCCCACCGCCCGGGGCCAGGCACATCCCTGGGCCCAAGAGCGGTGCGTCCACGCCGTCCCTGTCGACGACACGCAGGAGTGACCCCAGGCAAGAGTGACCTGTGGTGCGCGGCTTTCGGGGGCGCGCGGGGAGGCCAAACCCGAGCTCGCAAGCCGCTGCTGTCGCATCGCGCTCAGCCATCGGGGGGCGCCAGTGTGCCCGCGGGCGGCGGGGGCGCACAGGCCGCGTCGCCCGACGTCCTCGACCGCGCGCAGCAGGATGTCCCCCTCGCTCAGGCCGCTCCTGCAGTACGCCTGCACGGCGGCGGAGAAGATCGGGGCCGCCCTCGCAAACTGCGCGAGGACGGCCTGGACCTCGTGAGCGCATGCAAAGCGTGCCCCGCCCCTGCCGCCCCCACAGGGGGAACCTTAGGCCAACTAGACCGTCAAACGACGTGTTAGCTGCAAACGGGAAATGCTCGACGGCCAGTCAGCCAGCGACAACGCTGCGTAATTCCGCGCACATTCGCCATAACTGCAACACGCTGACATCTACAATCCATTGCTGTGGGGGCTGAAATCGGTTTCCCACTGTTCACCTCGGGGTCCGCGAACGCCACCTCCGGCTCTAGGCGCATGGACGCGCAGATTTCCTGCAGGCGGGCGCTCGCGTAGGCGCTCAGGTCGCAGCCGGCCGCACGCACTGCGCGGTCCTCCGGGTCGAAAAGGTCCGCGAGCTTCACTGGGTCCACCTCTGCACCCTCGGAGGGGTTCAGCTTCCCGTAGGACGCGCGGAAGGCGGCCCGCAGGCGCGCCACCTTCGACTACACCCAAAAGTAACCCTAGTCAAGAGTGCCAAGAGTGACCTTTGGTGCGCGACTTCCAGGGACCGCGGGGAGGCCAAACCCGAGCTCGAAAGCTGCTGCTGTCGCATCGCGTTCAGCCATCGGGGGGGCCCAATGTGCCCGCACCAAAGGTCACTCTGGCGAAAGGTCACCCTAACGTGTATGCGACACTTTCTGGACCGGTGCGGCCGAAGTCGCTGCTGGTGTCGCCACGGACGTTGCCCATTTGAGACAGAAGGCCGCCCGCCCAACAGCGGCCGCTTTCGGTTTTGGACAATGTTTGTTGTTGGGTGTCGTGAACATTCGGTCTGCGTAATCATGTCGGGCGTCCGAATTGGAGGGCAAGAGCACCACCCTCGTAACAGGCATCCTGGCAAGCGGCGCCCAGGGAAGGAATCCAACAGGGCAGGGCTGCTCAATAAACGACCAGTTCAATAACTGCCAGTGGTGGGTGTCGGGGTGTTTTTCCGTCCCTGGCCTTCATGGCCTCGTGGTCGCGCGGGTCAAAGGCCTCTAGCTTTGCGATCTTGTCCAAGTGCTGCTGCAGCGATCCCAGCGCTAGCAGCGGCGGGCCATCCGACCGCTCCTCGCCAGCTCCCTCGCCTCCGCCGCTAGCCGCGTCGAGCTTGTCCCAGAGCTCGGCTACAGAGTTGCGGAAGCAGAATAAGAAATAAACAACACGCGCATCAACTTTTGGAAGTCCGCGCGGATTTCCTGGATCGGCGCTGGAACCCCCCTCCCTGGCGCGCTCCAGGGGCGGCGCTGGAAGCGCCGCCAGGGGAATCCAGCGCAGATCCAATAAGCTTGCGCGGACCTTCTACAGTTGATGTTTATGCAGTTGCTTCTTCTTCGGGGAAGGGTGAAGTATGGCCTTCGGACCAAAACTGGCCAGCCTCGAACTTCTCCAGGTCCTCCAGAGTCCAGACGGGTAGCGCGTGACCTCGGATGCCGTTGTCAGCGAACATCTGCCTCAGAATTGGTGCGTCCTCGTGATCCTCCATGACGCGCTCGAAAAACGCCCCGAAGTTGTCGAAGTCCGCAGAATATTCCCGCCGCTGCACTTCGGTCTCCTGCGTGCGGACATACATGATCCGAGGGAGCCTCGCTCTCGCGGCGTCGCGTATGCGCAACACATCAACGACGTAGTCGTGAACCAGCCACATTGTGGTGAAGAAGCCTGTGGAGAGCACCTCGGTGTCCAACCAGATCAGCCACGAGCTTGTCAAGTACGTCGAAATGAGGAACTGCCTGACCAAAGCCTCCTTGTTGCGGCTGCGGCCTACGTGCGACAACCCTTCGGTGTCTATGACGCGCAGCGCCCTGCCCGCCGGTCCAACCCCTGGCAGTTCGCACACGTGCGTGCCGCTGGTCATCGCCTCGAACGAGCTGTGCGACTGCTTGAACAGGTCTGGCCGCCCGCCAGCCAGCAGGCTGGCCAGCACGCTCTTCTCGGGTGTTGCCAGAGGTGTCCATGTCCAGAAGTGTCTCCAGGATTTCCTGGGAGGCCCCCACGGTCTTCAGAGCAACCCTCACGAGGCCCAGGGGGCTCCAGCGGCTCCAGAATGGGGCGAGAAGCTGGGGACACCTTGCAGGATCAGTCAACATCAAGTCGGCAAATCGGATCGAATTGGAGCGTGCGCCGAATCAGACCGCATCGGCAAGGAGTCGAAATCGGATCGGATCAGCTACACCGGGATGCACAACAATGCCATGTAAGCGTCGGGTCGCGTCGGATCGGCGGGAAATCGAAATCGATTCGGATCGGGCCGGCCAGAATCGGCATCGAACCGGATCGATCGGATCGAACTGGACCCTGCTCTGGGCCAGGGACACCCTTAGCACCCACCGAGCTTCCCGCGGCGCGAGGGCCCGATCACGGCAATGGTGGGCACCCCAGCGGCCTCCGTGTCGATGCCGCAATCCTGGTAGAGCTGGATGGCCAGTCAGCGCCCACGGGGGGTCACCAGCAGGGCGGTCGCCAACCCATCAAGGAGGAGACTCCCCTCGAGACCTCTCGACACCTCGCGAAATCTTGCCGAGCGCAGCGGCACCGACCAAAATTCTCTTCGATGCTCGATCCTCGAACCTTGCCGGAAGAGCTCTCCGAGGTGTGCAGTCGCATAGCGCAGGAAGCGCTCTACGAGGAAGCTGCGCTGGGGCCCAGGCAGCGCTGCATGGGGGCTGCCAAGGAGCTGCGCTCCGCGCCCGGGCAGCGCTGCCTGGGAGCTCCAGGAAGCTCTCAAGCGACATCCGCGAGACTCCGAGAGGCATCCACGACGCTTCTGGTCTTTCTGCTCGCCCTCGCCCTCGCCCTCGTCCTCCACCTCCTCCTCCTTCTCCTCCTCCTCGTCCTCCTCCCCCTCCTCCTCCTCCTCCTCCTCCTCCTCCTCCTCCTCCTCCTCCTCCTCCTCTTCCTCTTCGCCATCCGCCCATTCCTGCCCAGGGCGCTGCGCACGAGCCTCGGAGGCGCTGCCCACCCGACCCCTGGCAGCGGCGACCCCCCGGGCGCTGCCCGAAATGGCCCCCTCACCAGAGCTTGGCGGTTGCAGCAGCGGCCGCGCCACGGCGGCCGCCGACGAGGCCGCCCTCGCGGCAGGGCGGCCGGCCCACGGCCTCGCGGCGCGGCGAGCTCGGCAGGCGAGGCCCGCGAGGCGCGTCGCGCGGGCGTGGCGCCACATGGGCGGCCGAGGATCGAGGAGGAAGAGGAGGGGGAGGAGGAGGGGGAGGAGGAGGAGGAGGAGGAGGAGGAGGAGGAGGAGGAGGAGGAGGATTTCCAGGATTTCCGCCATCCCGTAGGGATAAAAAGGGCTGAGCTCAGGTCCCAGCTTTGGGATGCAAATCCCTGCTGAACCGATTGAGATATTCCCGTCGGGTCTTGGAGACTGGAAGACTGCACGGCTTGCCTAATCCCCTGAGCTGGGACTGACCGAAATAACCGCATGTGCCGCAGTACCAAATCTTCAAGCTGTGGTGGTAAATTAAGGCGTGTGAGGGATCGACCCAGCCTCCTGCGTGGTGCAGCCTACGTCCTGGGGGCAGACGGGACAACCTACCATCCACGGAGCAGAGTTGGAAACACTCACTTTTTAACCAGTCGGACCTACACGCCTTAGCAGCAGAGCCTTTCCACACGCTGCACGATCCCCCACTTTCGGTCAGGACGTGCGCGGACGCGAAGCGTGCAACAGCTATGGGAGGCGGTGGAGGGATACGCTGCGCGGGGCGGGCCTCCTCGACGTCGCGGCTGGCCTGAGCAGCGACGATGGAGTCGAGGCCTGCGCGCAGCAGACGTTTCCTGACCAGCCGAGCTTTGTACTCGATACGGGCGATCCTGGTACGGTCGGCCAAGGGCACTCTAGCTCGACGGGCTGCCTCCTTCGCCAGCTCATCAACCACGCAATTTCCTCCAATGAGCCAGCTCGGCCACTGACGTTCAGCGACCTCTTTGCCATCTAGGTGCGATGGCACTTGGATAACAGCAGCGTCGGATGGGTCCCGTTGCTGCCTAGAAAGCGACTTGGCAATGAATCTCCACAAATCTGCTTGAGGCCCTGAGGGGCATTGGAGCTGGCCCCCGTGCCACCCTCGAGCCACTTCAGCACAATCTGTAACGTACACAGAGCGCCTGCTGAAAACTGCACGGCCCAGGCGAGAGCTTGGAGCTCTCCACGGGGCACCGTTTCGCTGGCCCCCACCAAGGGCTCGAGGAGATGGGGCCCAATGGTGAGGGGATCGAAAGAACTAAAACACGCAATAGCCAGTCCTATCCTACGGATCCTAGGATCGTTGGTGTCAGCGCCCCCTGAAGCATGTCCGAAGACTATCAGGGGCTCGCCAGGGACTCCTTCACCCAAGCAGGAAGGCCCGACGAGGCCACCATTTAAAAGACCCCCGCCGCCCCAAGACTCGGAGGTAGGAGGAGGAGAGACGGAGGTCCAAGGAGCAGGGATGAGGCCTCTCATCCAAAAGCACGGGTAGGCCTCAGAGTCGGCGACAGCCTCTGGAAGTAGCGACGCAGACGGATCATATGCGGGTGAGCTGTCGTTTTTGGCACACGTCCAACACCGATGCAATGCCGTCTCGCGGCCATCCTTGCATCGTTCACAAACATCACTCGCGCATGAATTAGCATCGAAACTCCGAGCTCTCGTCCAAAAACCTCCAGTGGCGATTGAAATCATCAACTCTGATAACTGGCGGCCTCGCTCAGCATGGGTGAGATCATTCGCAAACTTCCTGTACGACTGCATACCGACTCCGTCGGCGAGCCCTTCACAACAAAACAACTCTGCGGCTTGACGCCACTGCTTGAGCTCCATGGTGTGCTGCAGCTCGTCCAGTAATGGGGCTGCCTGATCAAGACTCGTGAACCCGGCATCTCCGAATCTCCAAGAGAACCCAGCTTGAGCACCATCATTCGGCAGATCCCACTCCACAGGCGAGACTGGAGTCCACCCTGCCTCCAGCAGGTACAGTATGACTGTGGATAGCGGCCCACGAACATATCGACTCCGTTGCTCAGGCTTGATGCTCATCAAGTGCTTGACCGCCACTGGCCACGCGAGACTGATGGACGGCCTGGGTTGTGGCTCCTCCAACCACACAGAGAGCCAGAGGGACACGCGCTGCCGAGGAAGCGTAGCCCCTGGGTCCGCGCCAGGCAGGCGCAAGGCCAGGAGCGTGGACAGGCAGCGTCCTCTCTTGGAGGATCCCGCGACCGCCCCCAAGCGCCGCCGCAGCAGCTGCATGTTGGCCCCGAAAGCGCCGTAGACCTGGTTGCCGTGCACCGCCGACGCCTGGGGCCCCGTCCGCTGCAGCTTCGCCGTGGCGTGACACCGCCTCGCCGCTTGGGCAAAGCGGCGGAGTCTGCCATGAGACTTGGCGGCCTTGGTGGCGCGCTTGCGCACCGTAGCCCTGCCCTGGCGACGCCCAGCACTTAGGTCCACGCCCAAGTGCGCTGACTGGAGCACCGCCGACAACGACACGCCTCGCCTCCGAAGAACTTTAACAACTGCCACTGCATCACACTGGTGCGCGCAAGTGACCGTGCTCTTGGGCGATGTCCCCAGGCCGAGCTTCTTGAACTCCCGAACCGTGGACATGATCCCCTTGATGAGCGTGGCTCGGACGTGCTGCCGCGATCCTGCCACCCGCTGTGAGAGATCGTCGATCCAGATACGCTCCGACATCGACGGGTGCATAACGCACAACTTGCTACACTCGAACGCTGTGAGGCATTTGGCGAACCTCGTGCCGTTCCTCAGCCCCTGCACGATGGAGCACGTGACCTGGGCGGGCTCAGACACCGAGTCGAGCTGCTGCAGCAGCCTCGGGATGAGGCACAGCTGCATCTCCAGGAAGAGGATGACTGGGGAAAACCCTTTGCGCACTGCGCAACGGGCGAGCGGCCCCCACTCGATGCCGTCGTAGAAGGCCTCCACGTCGAGCAGGCCGTGGCCGTGCGCGATGCTGAGCCTTGTCTGG